AGCCCCCCCCCCCCTCGTCCATCTCTCTTCCACGGGCCTGGCCTCCTCAATCCCTGGGCTCCCGCCCCCCTGCTCCCCCCCTGCTCTCTCCCTCCATCCCCTCCCACGAGCCGTATCAGCGAATCCCTCAACAGTGGCTCGGAGAACTTTATTTGTCACATGATTTATTTTTAGCCTGAAACAAGTGCATCCTAAAAATGGAGTTCCTGATGGGACAGGGGCCGGGCAGAGCTATGTGAGGTATCTGGGGCTTGGCGGCCCAGCCTGGCTCTCGGTCGGCGTGTGTGTGTGCGTGTGTGTGTGTGTGCGCGTGTGTGCGTGCACCTCGGCTCCCTTCCTCCTGAGCCCACAACTACAGTAGCCGGACCCGAGGAGGTGAAGAGTCGNGTGTGTGTGTGTGTGTGTGTGTGTGCGTGCACCTCGGCTCCCTTCCTCCTGAGCCCACAACTACAGTAGCCGGACCCGAGGAGGTGAAGAGTCGGCTCCGGGGCCCAGGAAGGGCAGGAGGGAAAAACCAGGCTCCCCGCTCCCCGCCTCTCAACAAGCCCCTGAGAGCTCTCCCGCCTCTTTCCCGCGCTCGGTGTTTTTGGGCAAGAAGACCCGCCTTGTCCCAGATGAAGAGGACTCATCTGTTTGTCGTGGGGGTCTGCCTGCTGGCCTCCTGCAGGGCGGAGGAGGGGCTGAACTTCCCCACCTACGACGGCAAGGACCGCGTGGTGAGCCTCACCGAGAAGAACTTCAAGCAGGTCCTGAAGAAGTACGACCTGCTCTGCCTCTACTACCACGAGCCCGTGTCGTCGGATAAGGTGGCCCAGAAGCAGTTCCAGATGAAAGAAATCGTGCTGGAGGTGAGCGGGAGGGGGGTGTGCCGACCACCGTCCCGGGGAGCACCAGCCGGCCAGCCGGGGGGGATGGGGGGCCGGAGGGTGCAGGTACCTGACCTGAAGTCTTGCTGCATCCCAGTCCCAGGTAGATCGGAAGATGTTCTTGCTGCAAAGCTGGGATGGGCGAGCAGGCGTGGGCCCAGGCGCCGGGACAATGGAATGTGCTTGTCACACAGGGTCCTCTGGACGTTTCAAGGGCAGTAGTCCCAGCCGCTGTTTTTTGGAGAGAAGGTTAACGCTGCTGTATTGCTAACAGGCCTGGCTGACAGGGCTTCTGGCGTTTTTGGTGGGTCTCACTCTGTGTGCTAATGGCCCAGTCTTCGCACTCTCTCTGCGATCCTGGAGACGTGGGAGGCCTTGACCTTGCGTCTCCGGGTGGGTCGTGTGGGGAATGTCACCAGGTGATCCTCCGTCCCCGTGGTTGGGTTTTAGTCAACATTACACAGTGTGGGTGTGTGAGGACCTCGGCTGCATTCTCAGTGATGGGATGATTTTTTTCCTTGGAAAGTTCTTGGTGTGAGCTCAGGGCCGACGCTGAAGTCAGTTCTTATTTTATCTGCATTACGTGGCCCGTCAGTAAACCTGGTGCTGGGGCCCATTCTTGAATCTGGTGAGAGTGCCCTAGAGCTCTCCCTGTGGCTCCTCCTGGGCAGTCTAAGGTCACTCACACCAGGAGCTCCGTGGATGCCAGGAATCCCAGGAGCCACCCAGGTCCCTGTCAGTCCCCATGCCCAGCCCAGCCTAGGCACGAATCTATGGAAAGGACTATTTGATCATTACAGCGGTTTATTAACCATCAGAAAGCTCCACTTAATCAAATACTTTGATGAACAGAATTGCCATATAAAACCCACATGGATTTGAATTCTCAAAAAAAAAAAAAAAATTTGATAAAATCCAGGAAAACCATCCCAGACACATCCAAATATCTTTGCTGATTTAAAAAGCACTTCAGGATCCTAAGTGTCCCCTGATCGCCACTCAGACTCCTCTTTCAGAGGGTTTTTACGACAGTGTGGTCAGTAGGAAGGCTCGAGTTGACAAAAAGCTAAGTGTCTTTAAAACACCATCACGACCCTGGTATTTTTCCTCAGGCTCCATCTGGGGGCTGAATGGGGAAGTTCGGGTCCCACTGTGGGTGGCAAGTGGAGAGAAAGCAGGGACGGTGCTTAGGGCTTCGTAGCGTGTACAGGGGAAAATCGCAGGCTGGTGAAGCCGGGGCTGCTGAGCCCGTAAAACCCTCACTCACACCATTGTCTCCATCTCACACTGTCCCACTCACTTACTGAGAGGTATTTTTAGGAAGATTTTAAGTGAAGGCGTAAGGATTCTATTTATATGCTCACCACTGTCCAGTCAGCCCAGGGCTCAAAAAACACAAACAAAACAAATCAGTGCAAGCAGCGCCCCCCACTTCTGATTATCAAGCTAAAACACATACACACACCCGCACACTCTCCCCCAAAGGCCAGTTCTGGGCCCCCATACAAAACCGTGAGATGGGACTTTGCTCCGGGCTCAACACCCCTCAGACGCCTTGGACCCAAGAGGGCCCGGCAGAGGTGACAAGGGGGAGTTGACACAGGAAGTCGGAGCCCTGGAGGCACCTACAGCTGGCGTGGACATCATGAGAGGAAAAAGAGCACAGGCTTTGGGGTCGGGAGACCTGGGTTGATATTCTAACACATTTATATGCTAAGAGCTATCATACCTGCTTTGAGATCATCAGCTGAAAATAATGAACATCTGTTGGACGCTTGCTGTGAGCAGGGGCTGCTTTAAGCACTTGGTGCATGCCGGCTGGTTTCGTCCTTACAATATTTCTATGACGTGGGTGTGGTTACTATCCCCACTTTACATATGGGGAAACTGAGGCACAGAGAGGCCAAGTTGCCCAAAGCCACTCAATGAGTGCCGATGAAGGCGGTCCTGGCCCCTGCACGCACTCTGCTGGCATCAGTGAGACAGGTGCAAGGCTCAGCCCGTGAGCAGGGTCTGACGACTCAGCTGTGTCGCCAGCAGGGCTGGGTGCACAGCACCTGGAGGAACTCCTGATGATTGTCAGCAGGGCTTGGCTAGGGTGGGAGGTCCGAGGCTGCCGCTCGGTGTCCCCTCCGCGAGGACCTTCTGCTCTTTCTGTTGAAGGAGGTCCCACTTTAGCTCCCCACATAAACCTGCTGCCATCCACACAGGACCCTCCCGGCAGCCTTCTCCCAAGCCCTCGTGGGCATGAAACAGCAGGGTCATCACATACAAGTGATTGGAAATGGCCTGTCTACCAGCAGGAAGGGTTATTCTTAGGGCCGATGTTTCAGGGCTGAGAAGCAGGTTATTTTCTAATAATTTCTAGATGGTGAGTCCAGCAGAGTAATCTTTCATTGGGGTCCAGAATTTACCTCCAGAAAGAGAGGAAAAGGCATCTATTTGGTTGCCATGTCACACTGCATTTTCTTTAAAAGAAATCACAAATTTGAGAGCCCCGGAGGTAGACAACTATGAAATACTGAGATGTCAACATGTTTAACAGGAAACCATGGGAAAGCTTCTAAAAGCAAACTGGCGAGTGTTCCATAAAGGGAAACTAAGTCTTGTGAGCACCCAAATAGAAATGTTCATTCATTCTTTCATTCATTCGTTCGTTCGTTCATTCATTCAGTCTTCATGCTGCTTACAAAATGCAGACGACACAGACACGGCCCCTGGTATCAACAGAGATGTTCTTCTATTGATAAGAGCTCACTTCCTTTAGCTCCATGCTTCAATGTCACCTTTTCAAAGAAGTTACCTCCCTGACCACCTATATCAGTCACACTCCCGACACTCTTTAATCCTCTCTGTCCTACTCTGTTTGTCCCAGGGCACTTGGCTGTCCCATTGCGTCTTGTCCAACACCCCTGTAGACTGTAAATCCACAGAGGCGAAGACTCTGTTCTCTTCATTGCTGGACCCCAGCACCTAGACCAGTGTCTGACTCAGGGGGCACTCAGTGGTGTTTGCTGAGTGAATGCTGAATGGACTGAAGGAGGAGAAGGGAAATAATGCTTATTATGAACTTACCATAAACCATACCTAACGGGTGCTTTTCATTTGTTACTTTATTAAATTCTTAAAATACATTCTCATATTACATGCACAGCAAGGACCCTGTAAGTTAAGCAGAAATTGCCCCAAATCACAAAGCTAGAAAATTGCAGAGCATGAATCAGGATTTGAACTCACATCTATTTGGTTGCGAGTGTCGCGTTCCTTTCTCTGCACCGAGGAACAGCTGAATAGGGTTGCTTCACACGCATGAGCTGTGCCAGCTTACAAAGGGACAAGTTGTTTTCGTTCGTATTCTGGATTTTCACCTACACTTGAGCAATGTTTAACTGTACGGCTGAACTATGTGTTCAGCCAGAATGAGCAGTGCGAGAAAAGAGACTAATGCTCAGCACCTACTGGGCACTTAATAATTGCTGGCTGGATGGCTGGATGGCTGGATGGGTGGGTGGATGGATGGATGACTGGATGGATGGCTGGATGGCTGGAAGGACGGGTGGGTGGCTGGATGGGTGGGTGGGATGGATGTGTGGCTGGATGGGTGGATGGGTGGATGGAAGGGTGGGTGGGTGGATGGGTGGATAGATGGAAGGATAGAAAAGGAAAAGGCAAGGAATTGTACATACATTGCCTGTATGGGAGATATAGTTATCCTTGATTTCTTTTTAAATTAATTAAAAAATAAATTGAACATGATAGTAAAAAATAGATTGAATTTGTCAGACTCAAGAACCCGTTTGTCATCCTTGCTTAATCCCACTGAAATATGGTTAAAACGGATTTTTTTTAACCGTGGGACTCTCAGTCCACTACATACAGAGCCTGGCAGAAACCTCTGGGCACTGCGTGGCGGACCTGCCTCCAAACCTGTTTAGCTCTGGCAAACGTCCCAGAGGTTTGATTTCCAACCCCAAGAGAAGGCAAATGGAGTTGCCAGAGTCAAGTAAATCTGCAGATGGGGGGATGTGGGAACACTGGGCTGAGAACAGCAGCGCGCAGGAGTCGGGCATCCCTTCCAGCTGTTCGCTGCCCGAAGGCGCCCCGACAGATCCAGGAGGCCGGGCTGGCTCTGGCTCGGCTGGGAGACGCGTCCCCGCCCTCGGGAGGCGTGTGCGCAGGCTGTCCCTCGCCCTGCCACCTCTGAGAGCCCGGGCGCCCTGGCCCGCGGCGAGGGCTCGCTGCGCACGGCTCAGTCATAGACCCGGTGCTTGGTGAGATGGCGAAGGGACAAGACGTGCTGTTGCAAGAGCGTGGATTGTATCGATTATCGGCAAATCCTTCCTTCCACGTATAGAATTAACAGAGAAACGGATTTGACAACATGGCGAACACACTGTTGATTCAGAACATTGTAGACCATTGGGACCTTCTCCTACTACTGTGGCCCCAGAGCCTCAAACTCGAGCCCAGATAGGATGTGTAGTGATCATACCCCCGAGGGAGACCTCCCGTCAAAGTTATACATATTTAACTTTATTTTTCAATTACAGTTTACGTTCACTATTATTTTGTATCAGGTGTAGAGCATGGTGATTAGATAATCAATCATACGCTTTACAAAGTGGTGCCCCTGATGTTTCCAGTACCCACTGGCATCATATATACAGTTGTTACAATATTACTGACTATGATCCCTACCCTGTGCTTTACACCCCATGACTGTTCTGTAACTAGCTCCCCAATCCCCCTCCCATCTGGCAACCGTCACAGTCATACATTTTTCAGTGGAGACCTGAGATACCATGAAAGTCACCACTATAAAACTATCGTGAGAACTATTGTAAAGTAAAGCAGGAAAATAAAACAGGAAGTCTGTTGGAATCCCCAGACTTTTCCTTCAAAGCAGCAGCCCTGCTCTTTCGCACTGTGGGCGTCGCTGGTTGGTATGGAGGATTTCTGTGTGATAAACAGCTCAGCCTTTG